TTCAGAGAGTGAGGCTCTTCTTTTAATTTCCCAAGGTAGAAAATGTTATTAATTTTGGCCTTTAACTTCTCATTGACACGTACACTTGAAACTTCTGATTAAAATTTCAGAGGTGGGAAAGAGGCACCCAAAATTAAACTCTTAAATCTGGCACAAAAATAACAATGATCCCTGATTAAGAAATCAAATTTCAGAAACTTCATTACTGGTCTATTAATAAGTTGTTGGATTATAATTAATATGGGGGCTTCCGCATGTTTTTCTTCTTCCCAAAAGTTGGGAGTTGTAGGGGGAGTTGAATACTTCAGAAAAAACAGGTTAATATAGGTTAATGAATCTTAGAATTGCAATCCCACTTGAATTGGTTTCGTGGTTCTCGCCCAGTAAGCACAGAAGGAAAATTTTTGCTTTCAGTTACATACATCTGGTAAAAAACCGTTGGATTCTTGCTTTGAGGGTTGGCTCAAACCCCTCTGCATCTACTGGATGCCTCTCTACAAACAATCCTGGACTTTGGTTGAAACAAGTACAAACAGCTTACACAGTCAAGAATACCTAAGAGCAGAATTGAGCTTGGAGCCTTCATTATATGCTTGGTTAATGAGAGCCGAAGACATTTGTTCCCAGTAAGCTGTCGATACCTCTAACAACTTCCCCTGAATGTTAACTTCATTAGATCAGAGAAGAATATAAAACCATGAAAGTGCATTGCTAACTAAGTACAGAGTGAGATTTGGACTGAAGTTACAAGGTTTTGATTCTCACAAATGCTTGAAGTTGTATTTTCCTGGGTAGTATATTTTTGCCAGCTTGCTTGAGCTTTTAAGTGAATTCCATTCTCAGGCTGCAAAAACACTTCAAGCTGAAGATTAAGAAGGAAAACTGCCTCAACACTGCAGATGCCTATAGGAATGGTTACAAGGCAAGCTACGTTTTTTACCAAGATAAGTCATTTGAATCTGATTCAGAGAGAGTTCAAAGAACAGACTGAATCTGGATTTGGACCATGGCATTGAAATCTTTCTTTACCTTAGAGTCATGGTTTCTGGAATGCAGTTGTGATATTTTATGCAACAGCAGAACACCTTGCCAGTAGCTAGTGGCACCCTCTCACTGTTGATAAAACAAATGGAAAAATATCTTCTCGGCCTTCAATGGATTCATGTTCTAGCTGCAAGAGGCTGAAAGCAAAGGAGGGAGGCATGGACAAAGCCCCTCTTACCTTTCTACGCGCAAACATTTTGCAACATGAAACAACGGACCCGGTTCACGGCAGGGTTCTGACATGCCTCGCTGCATGCGCGCATCACAACCTGACTTGCTCCCATGCGTTATGGTTTAGTGCCTGTGCATTTTGCCTTCAAAAATTGACCTTAATATACTAGTACCTCCTCTGGGGAGAACTTACGGAGCACAGCAACATCCAGCACATAGGAATATGCACTGAAAGCAGACAGATATGTAATCTCCGTGAGAGAGATCTGGCAGGATCCTAAGCCATTATAAACCAATATATACCCCAACTTCTCAAAATGCATCCAACTGCAATCATTTAGTGGGGAGTATTTCTTGCCAATTCCATACAGGGATCAGTTTTAGCCCCAACACGTTTACTTTTACACTAGCTAAATTGCAAATTAGTCACAAAAATATCTAATTCTTTGAATATTACTGTCAATATTTGGCAGCAGTAAAAGCCACCACTTAACTATATTGCCTGAAACAGTTCTTTTTTTTCTGTGTTGAGGGTTAAGCTTTTATACTTTGTGCTGTCTTGTCCCTGTATCAGAGGGGATATGAGAGTCAGATTAGCCTTTTCTATTTCATTCCCTACTTTTTGTACTTCCATTATTTCCCCATTTGTAGTTTTTTTTCCTGACAAAACAAAACAGTCCTTGATCTTTTTACATATTTCCTTCCACAGAATCACTCTCCATTCCCAACCAACACTAAATCATTGCGACTTTTGTTTTTTGCACAATCAGCAGGAGAGAAGAAAACCTTTTGTGTAAAAGAATACAACGTCTTGGCAATACAGATACTGTTCACATTATGCTTTCAGTTCCGGGAAACTTTTATTTAGTTTGTATTATTCAAGATTTCAGGGCTCCTTTGCAGCAAGGTTGTGACTAGTGGTAGACCGCACAAGGATTTCTGCTATTTGGCTAGCTGCAACGAATATTTGAAAATCCAACTGGTCTTTTCAGTGATTCACTAATCTCTCTTCCAATTTGCATTCCCAACATAATCATTACCAATCTGGCATAATCAGCAATTCTGCTTGAGAAACGCAAGCAGCAGATTCTGGATTATAAGAACAAATTCCTGCATGGTTTCTTTAACCAATTTCACACATGTTCTTTATTCTCTTGGGGCACCTCTCTTAGCAGTACGTGATAAAATGTTGCAAATAATTAATAAGCCCTTTTTAGAAAAAACCAAAAAACCAAACCCACAACTCCCACGACCATTCTCAAAATTGTTGATAGCTTTGTTCCTGCCTATACTAAAGTTTGATATCAACGCCGAAGAGAATAAGGGACTTTTACCTCTATATGAGCCAGGTTTTAGATCATGCGCCTGATTGTCATATTGCTGCATTTGACACATGAAAGAAATCCCACAGCCCTTGTCCATCCATCAGCACAAATCTGTGGCTATACCAAATAAAATAAGAATACCCTGGAGCAAGGGCTAAAATGACAATGAATGGACAAAATGTGCATTCAATAAATAAATACATTTAGAAAACAGGGAAAATGACATCTGTTAAGAGTCTTCCCTCAGATAAACTGATCTTTAAATGGCAGAGCTCACAGGTACTCCTGACAGAGAACAAAAATGAAATATTCATGCTCTATTAACTAGATGTTTTTAAGGTGATGCTGGGAACAGGATTTTCTAATTATAGGCCATGCCCTTTTTTCCCCCTCCATTAAATTTTGAACTCTTACCTGCCTCAATTCACCTTCACATCATTTTAACCCATGACTGTCAGTCTGGCCCTTTGCAATGGCACGCTGCTCTACACTTGCTATGTGCACAGAATGCCATTACTCTCAACGGCATTCTCGGTCAGGCAGCTGTATGGGCCTAACCTTCCTGAAGAAGCGCCCACCAGCCTTGCAATGAGGAAGACATCTAACCATGGGAGACCCTGTGTGAAGAACTTGACTCCCTGCCTAGCAATCCTTGAGCACCCAAATTCTAGATGACTTCAAATGGAGAGGAACCAGGCTGAGACTCCATTGTATGACCCAGCTTGACCAAGGCCTCGCTGGTCCCACTTAGGAAAAAAACCCGAACAAATAAAAGGGCAAAAATAAGAGGCTGCTAAATCTTGATGAAATGAATGAAGCAAGGTAGCAGTCTTCCTTCATGATGAATGGCATTTGCACCCTCATGCAGTGAGGACAAGGGACAAGAGTTATAGCCTGCAAAAAAGGAGCACAACTCTTGAGACTCCCTCTGGGGGATTCTGGGGAAGGGAAATGCGCAGAGTGGTGGCTCTCTGGGGCTGCTACATACCCCCCCTCTCCAGTCCTCAATGTCTCACCATTTGGTTTCCTTGTAATGAGACTCCTGTGAGTACATAATTAGGGCCCTACCAAATTCACGGCAGAATGGGGGTGCTCTGTGGCTTCTTTAATCTTGCAGGTTCCCCTGTGTGCTGCCCCACCGCTGATTGGTGGAGGGGCCCCGCCACTTGCTCCTGATTGACAAGAAGGTAAAAACTGTGGTTTTAATTACGGTGCTGTTTTTGCCTCCTGCCACTGATTGGTGAGGGGCCTTGGTGACCCCACGGCTTGCTGCTGACTGGTGGGGAGGTAAAAACGGTATCGTATTTAAAACCGTTGGTTTCTCTTCCCTGTTCATCAGGAGCAAGCCGCAAGTGCGGCCCTTCCGCCAATCAGTGCAGAGGGGAACCCGCAAAATTAAAGGAGCTGCAGCACACTCCACTTCTGCCATGAATTTGTCAGGGCCCTATACATAACGCAACTTGTGGTCCACCTCTCAGCTGCACAGCCTCACCAAACCCAATTTGTCTCTCTCCACTAGCTGAGGTGAAAGGGAGAAACACCCCCAGGTAAGTGACTGAAGCTCTTTCTCTGCTATGCAGAAAGGTGAAGTTAACACTCTGGCAGAGAAGATGCAATTTTGAGACTGGCATCACTGCACGAGTGATGTGCTCATTCTAAATTTTCATCCAAACCACCAGAGACATCAGGTGCTGTTTTTAACTATGAAAATTATCTGCTTTTGGATCAGGGAAAAACAATGTTTCTATCTCCGCAATAGTATTCTAGGAAGCAAAAGTGCTGGTAGAGCATAATAAGCTCCTTGCTATAGTCTCAAGAGATTCAGAGCAGGAACATAGCACTCACATGTCAGAAAACAGTTTTATAATTATAGTAATCTCGGGCATTTGTTAAACTCAGTACCCAACACTGTTCTTCAGAGTGCAAGTGCATTAATATTTTTGCAGTACGGAAGACATCCTTTCCTTGTATTGTTCTGAACCTGAACCACAATAAAGTGCAATAGATAATGCCAAAGTTTAGTCAAGAAGCATGTATTACCCTGTTATACTTGAATCTGGGTGGGCAATAATTATTTCACTTTATGAGGTGACATCAGAAGCAAACATAAACCAAGTAGGCAAAACTGAGAAATGATTCTCAGAAGCTGGTTTAGAAATGTTTATTTTTGTCCCCTCGATTTCATAAAGGTGGGGGAACCAGTTTGAGACCAGAATCACCTAAAGGTGCTTTACTCTATCATCTCATGCCTTGGAAAAATATTGTCACCTGCCTAATGCAAACTCTTTTTCTTTGTCATTTTGAAGCTCTTCATTACAGGAGAAAATAAAACTTCACTCCTAATTACCCAGATCTCAAACACGTCTAATTTAATTTTGTGCAAATGGCCAAGTACCGTAGGCACAGCAATCATTTGTAGTCCCTATTTTGTAGGCTTAGGTTAGAGAACATTGTACTCACCTAATAGTTTGATGCTGCAAGGTATCTGGATCTGTGGCGTTCACTGTTAGTACAACGCTGCCAATGGGGATGTTTTCTTGTTTGGTCACTGTCATTGGGTTTGGGTGGAAAACGGGGCCTTCATTTACATCTTCAACAGTGATCTGAACTGTAGCTGTGGAACTGGGGCCATAAGCTATGTCCGGAACGAGTGGGTCTTCATTTTCTACTTTGATCAGCAGCGTGTGAAATGCTGAGATCTCATAGTCTAAAGGCTGAAAGGCAAGTCAAAACATTGGCGCATGAGATGCATTAAAAAAAAAAAAAAAATTAACATTACCTCCCCTCTGCTGAGTTCCCAAGTGACAGAATTAGCCACAAAAGGGACAGCATCTCTTGTAGCAGCACTGGTTACATCTCGATGCCTGGCTGAAGTTCAGCAGTTGACATGATGATAATTACAAGTTACAAGGAAGAGTATTAAAGAGGCTCATAAGAACTGCCATTTACTGGGTCGGACAATTGATCCAGCTAGCTCGGTATTTTGTCTCTCACAGTGACAGAGGGTGGATACTGTGGGTGGTGGGTGAACGGAGCAAGTCCAGAATTTTCTACTCCCTGCTCCTCTCCCACTGCAATAACAACGGAGAGAACAAAAATGGGTTGCATTTAATTATTACCCGTGTTATCCTTTCTGCTGGCTGAACTGCTCTGACTCTCTGAGATAGACCTGACGACCCGCAGTTGTACTTAGGTGAAGAGTAAGCACATTATTCAATTGGAAGACTATTCCTACTTCCTTAGGTGGAATGTGTGGGCAAAGTTACACATTACACTCAGACCTTAGTAAGGGCACTTAAAATGTGAGCATCTGCAAGTTAAAGCTTGTTAACTTATGCTAAGTGCACTCTGAGCACCTCAAATTATGCCACTTCAGGTGAGGGTTAACTCTGGGCTGTGCTACCTAATTTGTTATAGGAAAACTTCAGGTCTGCTCCACAGAAATAAAATGAGCTGCTCGAAGTCTTCAAGCACCCCAGGATGCACCGCTTCTAGCTTCCCCACCCCAGCCCACCCCAGTCCACCCAGAGCAAGGATAAAGCCCAAGTGTCCTGGCTTCTAGCCACCCCCCTGCTTGCCAGCCCTCTAGTGGTAAAGCACAGCAGTGCAGGCAAGAAACCGTACTAACCCATAACGTATAACTGATCAACATGTTCTAACTTTAACACTATCGACTATTAACATTGCACAGATTTAGTTATCAACTATTAACATTGTAGCTATTTAATTATCACTTACTAACATTATAGCTATTTAGCTACCGCCTATTAACACTGCACAGATTTAGTATGGTCTAAGTGTTATGTGCAACTTCGCCTTATCTTCACCCTAACCGTACCAATCTCTGGGCGGCAGGGGAAGCCATTCCTTTTGAGCTCTGCCCTGTCTACTGCAAAGATATCCACTGCAAGGCACTGCACAGGTAGAAATATGGCCAATGGGAAATTTTCAATCCAAACTCTCTCAGTAGAAAATACTGCCTTCAGACAAAACTTTGTTTTCACACATGATTCTTGTCATTTTTTTCTTCTGGACATCAAAATAAAACCTGAAAACTAAAACATCTTGGCTTAAAATTTCAGTTAAAGATTTCTGTTTTGTGTGGGTTCTTTTGGGGGGGGGGGGCATTGGACAAATAATTAAATTTCCCACATATGGGAAGGAGATAAGGTTTGCCAAGCACCCAGGGCTACTTTCAAAAGAAAGGGAGATATTGGTAAAATTTCTTAAGCGAAGAATTAACTGGTGCCATATTTTTGAGAAGCTTATTCCAGTGGTTGCACCTTTTCATGCGTCAAAAATCTGCTGGATACACTTTGCAGCTATAATATAGTATAAAGGCAAATAGTTCTTACTTTGACAACAGAGAGCATTCCCTCATTAGTCTGTGGATTGGTATGGATTTCAAAACTCTGCCCTGGGTTTCCATTGATAATGGTATAAACAGCTCTCCAGGCCCCTGTTGCTGGATCATCCTCATCCTGAACAGTTAAATTCACAATCACTCCTGTAACACCTTCCTTTACTGTAGCTTGGAACTAAAAAAAGAAACCAAACAGATAATAACTGTTAGTATTTTAACTAATGACCACAAAAGAAAAATCATTGTGTGAGCCAGCATTAATTATTTACTGTATCTAAAGGAAGATGTAATCCTTGCACATAACGGGATCTTGTCGTCTGTAGATAATGCATTCCCACAACACGATGTGCAAGGTATTGTATTGCTATTGCACCATTTCTGATACACTGCAGATAAGTAACAATGCAATAGAAAACAGCCTTTGAAATCTTTTCAATAAGAAGGGGGGGAAAAAAACATCTGGAAGATGAATTCAGAGGAAAGGGAATCCGGGCAATACATCCTGAAGTACAACATCCTAGAAAAGGAAATGTTTTTCAAAGCTGATCAAACAAAATGGGAGGTTTTGTTTAATGTATTTCTTTCTTTTTTCACTCTCCTCTCCTCTTTTTAACTGCTTCCTAGGGGTACGAATGAATAAAACATTTGACTCACAATGTGCCCCTATAGGCTGGCCCCTTGTCCTTCTGCCTGGGCTGCAATGGCTGGCTGCCCTCTTGCCCTCTCCACAGTCCTACATCGGTCTCATGCATCATACATGGTACCCAACAGATCCTTCACAGATTAAATACTTATGGTTGGTGTTCTGCTCTGGCCTTTTCCATCACACTCTGCAGTCCCCTCAGCTTTATGCTGCTCCACTCCAGCAGCCTCATGGGCCTTCTGTCAAGTTCAGTGGCCCACTGATGCTCTTTCTGCCTCTCTGCTGGGAACTTCCCACAGTACCTCCATACTTGGGATCCCTGAGTTGTTACCTTCTTCCTTAGGGCTAAAGGGGTGTAACCTGACATGGGAGGGCCCACAGTCTTAAGGGGCCATCCACATGGTGGTACCCAATTATCTTAATAATGGGGAAAGGAGACTATATAGTTTCATAGTTTGTAGGGTCAGAAGGGACCTGAGTAGA